ATGCCCGTGGAGAGATTTCACGGTCATATGGTGCTCCTCGTGATGACTAAAGCTCTTGAACAACTACTTTATATTCACGGTTGTCGACATGTTGACATTGTATTTATTATTGTATATATCTATTGGTGTAGCTGTTTTTCATCTGTTAAAACATAAATTAATTGTATATAACATAAGCCTTTCCCTTTTCTAAAGATGTTCGTAATGCTTAATGCAAAATATTTTGGTATTGCACATCTACATACAACCTTACACGTAACTCATACATATGTGTGTGTGTGGCTATCGGAGTGTGTCCGTGTATGTGGCCGTTGGCACACACACACACACACACACACACACACACACACTGTTTTCCATGCTGACTATTTATATAGAACAGTGTTCGGGGCCCCAATTCGGAGTCTTCATTCATCATGTATTACAGGTAGTGCTCGCCCTCCTTGTCGCCGTGGCCTTTGCCGACAGGCTGTATCAGGCCCCAGCTCGGGATGACTCCGACGAGATCGCCATCTTGAGGGACGACCGCGTGATCGAGGATGAACGGAAGGTACAACTTCGACAATGGAAACTGCTAACGGAATCGTCATGTCGGAGTCTGGCTCTCCTGGAGAAGATGGAGCCATTAATAGTGCTGGATCCTTTTCGTAAGTAACCGCAGATAGTTTAGACTTTTAGGTGATTTATACTTTCAAAATTTCAGGATTTTTCTCCCTAATAATAAACTTACATATTCTGAAGATGCTAATTTGCGTACTATATATTGATATCTTTTCCGTGACAGGTACACCGCTCCTGACGGCACCGATATCCACCTCAAATATATAGCTGACGAAAACGGCTTCCAGCCCCAGGGCGACCACCTACCAGTGGCTCCCGAGTTCCCCCATCCAATCCCCGACTTCGTGCTCAGGCAGATCGAATTCGCCAAAGAGGAAGATGCCCGTAATGCCCGTGGAGAGATTTCACGGTCATATGGTGCTCCTCGTGATGACTAAAGCTCTTGAACAACTACTTTATATTCACGGTTGTCGACATGTTGACATTGTATTTATGATTGTATATATCTATTGGTGTAGCTGTTTTTCATCTGTTAAAACATAAATTAATTGTATATAACATAAGCCTTTCCCTTTTCTAAAGATGTTCGTAATGCTTAATGCAAAATATTTTGGTATTGCATATCTACATACAACCGTACACAGGCACGGATCTCTACGTAACTCATACATATGTGTGTGTGTGTGGCTATTGGAGTGTGTCTGTGTATGTGGCCGTTGGTACACACCCACACACCCACCCACACACACACACACATACACGCACACGCACACACACACACACACACGCACACACACACACACACACACACACACACACACACACACACGCACGCACAATCACGCACATATATGTATATATATGTAAACACGATTCCTCCTAATACTCCTTTAATTCTGCAGACCTCTTATGTTCATCTTATACTATCAATACCGCTAACGTCATACATGGAGAGATGTGCAGTGATGTACATCCCAAATCTACTCCAATCTTAATATTTTGTGTGTACTGTACCTGTCAAAGAAATTTTCATGCCACTCTTGCCAGTTTTCCTTTCCTCCTTTTCCTCAGCGTCCTCGTAAAGGGCTTCCGTCTGCGTTAAGACCTCTGGTTACAATACATATATAAATGAATGGGACTCCTTCTTATGCATTGCTCCCACATCCTCTTTTAAATTAGTATAATTTTGAATTAAGCTTGATATAGCCATTCTGCCGTGTCTAAACTGTCTCATCATTTGGTTATAAATGTTGCTGGTCTCTAGTTAAAGGCAGTATAATTTTTGTACTACTGCCTTTCTTCTTAGATTCCTTCACCCAGTCCCTCTGTTCATTCATTGGCGTTTGCTACTGATGAATACGTTCCCAAGAATCGACTATGGTCTGTATCTGTTGAACTAATAATGATTTCCCTAAAAAAAATAACTGATTAACATATTTATGAATGTAGACTAGTTTATACTATTCCATATATCAGTTGTATATTGTGTTTTTTTTTCAAAATCCAAGGAATTTTAACCCATTCGCCGCGGATGGCAAGAATAGATGCCATACCCACTTTGATACACGTTTATTTATTGTATTTACACCTAGATGGCTCTACAAGTTCTTAATCACCAAATAGCCAGTTATCAAGAACTACCTATTTCACCTGTTTAGCCTTTTCTTTCACTTTCGGAAAGGGTTTTTTGTATCATCTTATTGTCAAAAATATTCTAATGACAATTCAATCATCATAACATCAGTAACAATAATAACAGCATCGAAAGCAATGATATTAATTTTCCCGCCAATTCAATGAATGGGAAAATCAGGGTCGGTAACTAGGGCCTACTGATAGACTCCTTGCCGGCTGAGTACATGTGGAGCCATCTGTAGGTAACAAAATTTACCAAAACCAACAGGGGACAGAACATAAATCCGTGGCGAATGGGTTAAAGCCTATTAACACAACTTTCTACAACCTGAATGCCGAATTCCGCTTCTTGTCTATCATAAATCTCTTCCTATATCACTTCTGCTGCAAGGGATGTATACTGACTTTTTGCAATATATGGACACCCATAGATTACTAAGTGTAGACTTCGATTTTTCCTTATTTAATACTATATTAGTTATCCTCCATTTTTAAAACTACGTCGACTTGTTACTTTTATAAATTATACCGCAAAATTGTACAACTATCTAACTGATCTCATCTCCTTTGCATCTTTGTATTTCCGCATAATATATTTTCAGACGTTGGGCCTCCTTTCATGCTAATTTCTTATCTACTCGAAATTATGGCAAAATGCCATTAATATGGGAAGTAGCTCTCTCCTGTAACTATATATCTGGCTTTTTGAGACTTTACTAATATTTTTTTCCTGTAATATCAAAGCTAAGTCTCTTAGGGATTTCTTTTTACACCTTTTACATTCTTTCTTAAAATGCTATTAAGTATACAAGCTTCTTGGTGAAATGGAGTTCTTCCTAAAGCACTAAATATTTTGTTTTGTAAACAGGTGTAGGCTTCTAGTCGACCCGTAAAGAGACTAACTCTCTAACGCCTTCAAGAATTTTACTTCTTTCTCCAATTCAATTTCCAAAGTTTTAGAGACCATTTATAAAAGCTCAGAATCTCTAAATCTAAGGTAATCCCGTTTTCTACTGGTCAACATCTCGCAGGAATAAAACTGAACTTCTTTAAAGATCGTGTACTATAAAGCCTATACTAAATAGCCTTTGCATTAGTTAACTCAGATCACTCCGTTTCAGTCATCGTGAAGGCACTATATATATATATATATTTTTTTTTCAAAGTTCATATATATCTACCCTTGTCAACTAGCAATTCTCTCGAATACTATTAAGCTATTTTCCATTTCATTTTTATTTGATCAGTTGTATTCCACGCTTTCCATAACGGTTAAGAAACACTCTACAACAAGAACATTATCATAGCATTCGATCACTTATCCTAGGGCCATCATTTTTAGTAGGAAAATAGTATATAGAAGAATATATATCCTAACATCACATAAATCCAATGTTTCCTCCACCTCATTCCATGTTATATAATCATAATGTAAATAAGGGTAAGCTTATAAAACTTGAAAACACAAATCATTGAGAGAGAGGGAGAGAGTCGTCTAAACATCCAGAATGATGCAAATCCCACTGAAGTCGGTAAGTTGTCACACATAAAGATATTTTTATATTTAGATTAATGTTACATCACAAATATATAAAGTATTGTGTATACCGATGATGACAACTGGCAACTTTGGATCCTCCTTGCAATATAAATAGAGCATTCTAATGCAATGCATCAGTAAGATACAGTTCGTTCAACATGAAGTTTGTAAGTCACATTTTCCCATAGTTGGTGATTTAACTCAAATAGTTCTCAGGCCCCAATTGGACAAGTCTTCATTCATCATGTTTTACAGGTAGTGTTCGCCCTCCTTGTCGCCGTGGCATTTGCCGATCGGTTGTATGAGGCCCCAGCACGGGATGACTCCGACGAGATCGCCATCTTGAGGGACGACCGCGTGATCGAGGACGACGGAAGGTACAACTTCGACATGGAGACTGCCAATGGAATCGTCATGTCCGAGTCTGGCTCTCCTGGAGAAGATGGAGCCATCAATAGTGCTGGATCCTTTTCGTAAGTAACCTCAGATAGTTTAGACTTTTAAGCGATTGCACTTTGAAAACTCCAAACTTTCCCCCCTAATTATAAAGCAATCCCTACTGTCTGAAGATGCTAGTTATGCTATAAAGCTACTATTTAATTTCTTGAATGCGTACTATGTACTGATATCCTTGTTCGTGACAGGTACACCGCTCCTGATGGCACCGATATCCACCTCAAATATATAGCTGACGAGAACGGCTTCCAGCCCCAGGGCGACCACCTGCCAGTGGCTCCCGAGTTCCCCCACCCGATCCCCGACTTCGTGCTCAGGCAGATCGAATTCGCCAAAGAGGAAGATGCCCGCAGGGCCCGTGGAGAGATTTCACGGTCTTATGGTGCTCCTCATGATGACTAAAGCCCTTCAACAACTACGTGATAATTCACGGTTGTCGATCTGTTGACATTGCACTTATGGATGTGTATATATATATGTATGTATATATATATATTGGTGTAGTTAGGTTTTTTATCTGTTAATACATAAAGGAACTGTATGATATAAGCCTTTCCCTTTTCCAAAGATGCTTGTAATGTTAAAACTTCGGTATCAGCCTTTCTTTTTGTTAGATGGCATGCATTTATATTGCACATCTGGTCTTTCATCTAGACAACCGAAGACAGACACGCATCTGTACCTAACTCACATGTAAATAAATACACATAAACGATTCCTAATACTCTTTTAATTCATCAGACCTCTGATGTTCATCCTAAACTATCAACATCTCGACCGTCATCATGAACCGATGTGCATGGACTTATTGTTATATATATATGTGTGTGTGTGTGTGTGTGTGTGTATTCTTATGTCTTGCTCCTACATCCTCCTTTAAATGAGTACCATTTCGAATTAAGCCTACTCGCATGGTAACTTGACATCGGCATTAAGTCACGTCTAAACTGTGTCATCATTTGGGGATAAATGTTGCTGGTTTCTAACTAAAGACAGTGTCGGTATAATTTTTGCATTGCTGCCTTTCTTTTCAACTCAGGTTCCTATATACAATTCCTCTGTTCGTTCATTGGCGTTTGCTACTGAATACTTTCGCAAAAACCGTCAATGATCTGCGGCTGTTGAACTGATGATGGTTTCCTTAGAAAAACAAAAAAAAAATGAGTAATATATTTGTGAATATAGACTTGTTTATATTATTACATATTTCAGCTGTATATTGCTTGGTTTTCAATTTCTAAGGACTTGTAAAGGCTGATAAAGGAGTGTACATTTTCTTGTTAATGGCACTGTACACGTATTTTATTTTACAATCTGAATGCCGAAGTCTGCTTCTTCATGTTTATTAGAAATATCTTACTATATAATTTCTGTTCCAAAGGATGTATACAAACTTACAGTAGTATATGAACACCCATAGATTATTAAACTTTTTTACATATCTAATACCACACTAGTTTTCCTCCACTTTTAACATTATTCTTACTTGTTGCCTCTATACTTCATACTGTATATTTGCATTACTAAGAGATCGCATCTCCTTTCCATCTTGTATTTCCGATAACTATATTTTCTTAGCGTTGAGCCGTGCCATTTCTTTCATGCTAATTTCCTGTCTACTCGAAATCGTCGTAAACTGCCATTTATACTGGAATTCGCTTTCTCCTGTGTGTATTTTCTGCCTTTATAAGAGCCTATGCTAATATATATGTTTTGGTAATAATGTTTTTTTTTTTTTTTTGATATTAGGATTTTTTTCACCCCTTTTACATGGTTTTTTTTTTTTTTCAGAATGCTACAGACTAT